CTTGAACATTTTACAGCAATGGCCAATATACCAAAAAAATTCCTACTTTTAGGCTTAGCAGTGAAATAAGCTGGAAATAAGTTTTATTATATCTCAGGGCCCTAATCACAATGCTAGCACCACAACATTCTTATTTAGTCATTAATTTCTTTATTTTATAGATGCTTCTTTATATGTTTATTTTCTGTATTAACTTTATTTACAACATTTATTAATTAATAATTTAATTTTCATTTATTTTAGTTCATTTAATAGTATTATTTTTAGCAAGGTAGCTTCTTCAACCCTTCAGCTTGAAAGATTTAAAAATACGCTTCGGAGATTATTTTTTTATACTCATAAAATTGATCAATTCTTAGATGTTACAGAGAAATGGAAAAACCTTCCAAGATTTTTGGCCAAAATGCTGTGTCTTATGTCTACAAAATGCTGATAATCAGTCAAAAAAGCCAAGCAAAGATTTTTGTTTAAAATGACCTGTGATGATAGACTGGCTGAAAGAAAAAAACCCCACAGAGTAAGATTAACATTATTGTCAGAGGTGTTTCAAAAAAATTACATTGAATTGGAGTTTCTTTATCTCTTACCTTGAGTGTTTTACTGTAAATGAAACAATATATGAAGATCTACAAGTAACTAACAGTCACAAAAGTTAATGAAGTGTTATTTTGTATCATCAGCCTAAAGATAATGATTTCCAAGATATCTTGATCAGCCAAGATATCTACAGTCAGATATACAAGTACAGTCAAACCCTGTCTGCTGACAAATTAATTTATTTTCAGTATTTGAATAATCATATCCAGGTTCTTGGAGGTACAAAGTATAGTTTTTGTAATATTTGTCTTTTGGCCCCGAATGAAAAAAGCTGAATTTTAAGTTCAGCCACAACATAACTGAACACTACAACACCGACAGTATTATTAGATTTTAAGAAATTAAGTGTAATTTCTTACCCATGCCGTTGTTGTTTCACCATATTGAAAATGGCTACACTGAATGAGGTTTTTAAACAAACATGAACAACACATTGACCCATCTACACACAACTCATACTTTAAAAGGCATGTTAATAAATATTCCTTTTTCCCCTTCAAAATTTCTTTTTTGCTGAAGATTTCTATTTTTCCTTATACCACTTTTGACCTCTTACATCCGTTTTGCCAGGACAAGACAGTGATAAGAAAAGAGCTTGGGTCTCTTCCAAGACTTGAAAGTAAAATAAAAAAGGGACATTGCAGCTAAAAGAATACTCAAACATTATTTACAAATTTTACATACTAACATCTCCTGAAAACTCCTATGATACAGTGTGCTTTCCCTGTAAATGTCATCTGTGTGACTTCTTACAAGGAAAGAAAGGGTGTTTGTCTATTTCTCAATCATAAAGAACCCATTTATGCTGAAATTAATTTAACTTTAGTTCAGTCTATTTTCTATTTAGTCTCCTTTACTTTGGAGATATTCCCTGAAAAAGTAAGGAAAACAACTCTTCAGACATGCCACACCCTTCAAGCCAGAATGACTTCTTTGGGGTTCATACACTTTAAAGTCTCCAGTTTTCCCTATGTATAAAGCACTTCCCTACATGTAGAAGCCATGAAATCAATCAAATCTGGCGATATATTTCTGTTTACCTTTAAAAAGTGACTGTTCACTCCTATAAAAAATTGATAGTGTAATCTAAACCAGATGCATAGCTCTTACTGAGGTGCAACCCGATCAGTAGTGTACATTTGAGAAGCAGGAATTGGATGAGAAACAGTTTTTAATAAAAACTGCACACAAAATCTCTCCTTTATATAAAGCATTCTACAAGAAGCTCTCTGCCTGTGTTTATAAACACCTTGCACCTAGTGGCAAGCAAAGGAAAACGCTGCACAGTCATGTCCTGCAGAACTGTATCCACTCAGAGGACCTACATAGTAACATGCGCAAAAAAATCAAGAGATAGGAGAGTCAAAACCAAAATCCAACCCTGCTTATACTTTGCTCTGTATCCAAAGCACTATAAGCCTTAAAGATCAAGTAGAAAAACCACAGACAGGCAAATGTGTATAAAATCATGCTATAGTACTGCAAAGTGTCAGTACCTCAAATTTAGGAGAAAGGGTTAAACTCATGTCTTCATAATAAACTTAAAAATAACACTCTGACATTCCTCATCCTTTTTTCAGTAGAGGCACTCCCAAAAAATTAATTAAGCCTGTACATGACTGGATTGCACAAGTCTGTAAACTATACAAGAGGATCGATTTACCCACCCAATTACAATCTCCAGGCTGGAGAACACCAGCTGTTTCAAACTAAACAGCAAGAGCG